CTACACACAGACACACAGACACACAGACACAGATAGTCACTCAGTCACTCAGTGAGTCACTCAGTCAGTCACTCAGTCAGTCACTCAGTCGGTGAGTCACTCAGTGAGTCACTCGGTGAGTCAGTCACTCACTCACTCAGTGAGTCACTCAGTGAGTCACTCAGTGAGTCACGTCCAGAGTGTAGCCCGTGCGGTCCAGAAGCTCCTACACACAGACACACAGACACAGATAGTCACTCAGTCAGTCACTCGTGAGTCACTCAGTCAGTCAGTCACTCGGTGAGTCACTCAGTGAGTCACTCAGTGAGTCACGTCCAGAGTGTAGCCCGTGCGGTCCAGAAGCTCCTACACAGACACAGATAGTCACTCGGTGAGTCACCCAGTGAGTCACCCAGTGAGTCAGTCACTCAGTGAGTCACCCAGTGAGTCAGTCACTCAGTGAGTCACTCAGTCAGTCACTCAGTGAGTCACTCAGTGAGTCACTCAGTGAGTCACTCAGTCACTCAGTCAGTCACTCACTGAGTGAGTCACTCAGTGAGTGACGTCCAGAGTGTAGCCCGTGCGGTCCAGAAGCTCCTACACACAGACACAGTCAGTCACTCAGTCACTCAGTGAGTCACCCAGTGAGTCACTCAGTGAGTCACTGAGTGAGTCACTCGGTCAGTGAGTCAGTCAATGAGTCACGTCCAGAGTGTAGCCCGTGCGGTCCAGAAGCTCCTACACACAGATAGTCACTCAGTCAGTCACTCGGTGAGTCACTCAGTGAGTCACTCGGTGAGTCACTCGGTGAGTCAGTCACTCAGTGAGTCACTCAGTGAGTCACTCAGTGAGTCAGTCACTCACTCACTCAGTGAGTCACTCAGTGAGTCACCCAGTCAGTCACCCAGTCAGTGAGTCACCCAGTCACTCACCCAGTGAGTCACTGAGTGAGTCACTCGGTCAGTGAGTCAGTCAATGAGTCACGTCCAGAGTGTAGCCCGTGCGGTCCAGAAGCTCCTACACACAGACACAGACAGTCACTCAGTCACTCAGTGAGTCACTCGTGAGTCAGTCACTCAGTGAGTCAGTCACTCAGTCACTCACTGAGTGAGTCAGTCAATGAGTCACGTCCAGAGTGTAGCCCGTGCGGTCCAGAAGCTCCTACACACAGATAGTCACTCGGTGAGTCACTCGGTCAGTCAGTCAGTGAGTCACTCAGTCAGTCAGTCAGTGAGTCACTCAGTGAGTCACTCAGTGAGTCACTCAGTGAGTCAGTCAATGAGTCACGTCCAGAGTGTAGCCCGTGCGGTCCAGAAGCTCCTACACACAGACACACAGACACAGATAGTCACTCAGTCAGTCACTCGGTCAGTCACTCGGTGAGTCACTCGGTGAGTCACTCGGTGAGTCAGTCAATGAGTCACGTCCAGAGTGTAGCCCGTGCGGTCCAGAAGCTCCTACACACAGACAGTCACTCGGTGAGTCACTCGGTGAGTCAGTCAGTGAGTCACTCAGTCAGTCAGTCAGTGAGTCACTCAGTGAGTCACTCAGTGAGTCACTCACTCAGTGAGTCAGTCAATGAGTCACGTCCAGAGTGTAGCCCGTGCGGTCCAGAAGCTCCTACACACAGATAGTCACTCGGTGAGTCACTCGGTGAGTCACTCAGTCAGTCACCCAGTCAGTCACCCAGTCAGTGAGTCACTCACTGAGTGAGTCAGTCAATGAGTCACGTCCAGAGTGTAGCCCGTGCGGTCCATAAGCTCCTACACACAGACAGTCACTCAGTGAGTCACTCGGTGAGTCACTCAGTGAGTCACTCAGTGAGTCAGTCACTCGGTGAGTCACTCAGTCACTCAGTGAGTCAGTCACTCACTCACTCAGTGAGTCACTCAGTGAGTCACTCAGTGAGTCACTCACTGAGTGAGTCAGTCAATGAGTCACGTCCAGAGTGTAGCCCGTGCGGTCCAGAAGCTCCTACACACAGATAGTCACTCGGTGAGTCACCCAGTCAGTCACTCGGTGAGTCACTCGTGAGTCAGTCACTCGGTGAGTCACTCAGTCACTCAGTGAGTCAGTCACTCACTCACTCAGTGAGTCACTCAGTGAGTCACTCACTGAGTGAGTCAGTCAATGAGTCACGTCCAGAGTGTAGCCCGTGCGGTCCAGAAGCTCCTACACACAGATAGTCACTCGGTGAGTCACCCAGTCAGTCACTCGGTGAGTCACTCGTGAGTCAGTCACTCGGTGAGTCACTCAGTCACTCAGTGAGTCAGTCACTCACTCACTCAGTGAGTCACTCAGTGAGTCACTCACTGAGTGAGCCAGTCAATGAGTCACGTCCAGAGTGTAGCCCGTGCGGTCCAGAAGCTCCTACACACAGATAGTCACTCGGTGAGTCACCCAGTCAGTCACTCGGTGAGTCACTCGTGAGTCAGTCACTCGGTGAGTCACTCAGTCACTCAGTGAGTCAGTCACTCACTCACTCAGTGAGTCACTCAGTGAGTCACTCACTGAGTGAGTCAGTCAATGAGTCACGTCCAGAGTGTAGCCAGTGCGGTCCAGAAGCTCCTACACACAGACAGTCACTCGGTGAGTCACCCAGTCAGTCACTCGGTGAGTCACTCGTGAGTCAGTCACTCGGTGAGTCACTCAGTCACTCAGTGAGTCAGTCACTCACTCACTCAGTGAGTCACTCAGTGAGTCACTCAGTGAGTCACTCACTGAGTGAGTCAGTCAATGAGTCACGTCCAGAGTGTAGCCCGTGCGGTCCAGAAGCTCCTACACACAGACAGTCACTCGGTGAGTCACCCAGTCAGTCACTCGGTGAGTCACTCGTGAGTCAGTCACTCGGTGAGTCACTCAGTCACTCAGTGAGTCAGTCACTCACTCACTCAGTGAGTCACTCAGTGAGTCACTCACTGAGTGAGTCAGTCAATGAGTCACGTCCAGAGTGTAGCCCGTGCGGTCCAGAAGCTCCTACACACAGACAGTCACTCGGTCAGTCACTCGGTCAGTCACTCGGTCAGTCAGTCACTCGGTGAGTCACTCAGTGAGTCACTCAGTGAGTCACGTCCAGAGTGTAGCCCGTGCGGTCCAGAAGCTCCTACACACAGACAGTCACTCGGTCAGTCACTCGGTCAGTCAGTCACTCGGTGAGTCACTCAGTGAGTCACTCAGTGAGTCACTCAGTGAGTCACGTCCAGAGTGTAGCCCGTGCGGTCCAGAAGCTCCTACACACAGACAGTCACTCAGTCAGTCACTCAGTGAGTCACTCGTGAGTCAGTCACTCGGTGAGTCAGTCAGTGAGTCACGTCCAGAGTGTAGCCCGTGCGGTCCAGAAGCTCCTACACACAGATAGTCACTCAGTCAGTCACTCGGTCAGTCACTCAGTGAGTCACTCGGTGAGTCAGTCAATGAGTCACGTCCAGAGTGTAGCCCGTGCGGTCCAGAAGCTCCTACACACAGATAGTCACTCAGTCAGTCACTCGGTCAGTCACTCGGTGAGTCACTCGTGAGTCAGTCACTCGGTGAGTCAGTCAGTGAGTGACTGACTGAGTCACTCACTCAGTGAGTCACTCAGTGAGTCACTCAGTGAGTCAGTCACTCAGTGAGTCACGTCCAGAGTGTAGCCCGTGCGGTCCAGAAGCTCCTACACACAGACACAGATAGTCACTCGGTGAGTCACTCAGTGAGTCAGTCGGTGAGTCAGTCACTCACTCACTCAGTGAGTCACTCAGTGAGTCACTCAGTCAGTGAGTCACTCAGTGAGTCACTCAGTGAGTCAGTCACTTAGTAAGTCACTCAGTCAGTCACTCAGTGAGTCACTCGGTCAGTCACCCAGTGAGTCACTCGGTGAGTCACTCGGTCAGTCACCCAGTGAGTCACTCGGTGAGTCACTCGGTGAGTCACTCAGTGAGTCAGTCACTGAGTGAGTCAGTCAATGAGTCACGTCCAGAGTGTAGCCCGTGCGGTCCAGAAGCTCCTACACACAGATAGTCACTCGGTGAGTCACTCGGTGAGTCACTCGGTGAGTCAGTCACTCAGTGAGTCAGTCACTCAGTGAGTCAGTCACTCAGTGAGTCACTCAGTGAGTCAGTCACTCACTCACTGAGTGAGTCACTCACTCAGTGAGTCACTCAGTGAGTCACGTCCAGAGTGTAGCCCGTGCGGTCCAGAAGCTCCTACACACAGATAGTCACTCAGTGAGTCACTCGGTGAGTCACTCAGTCAGTCACTCGGTGAGTCACTCGGTGAGTCAGTCGGTGAGTCAGTCACTCGGTGAGTCAGTCACTCACTCACTCAGTGAGTCACTCAGTGAGTCACTCGGTGAGTCAGTCACTCAGTGAGTCACTCAGTCAGTCACTCGGTCAGTCACTCAGTCAGTCACTCAGTGAGTCACTCAGTGAGTCACTCGGTGAGTCACTCAGTCAGTCACTCGGTGAGTCACTCGGTGAGTCAGTCGGTGAGTCAGTCACTCGGTGAGTCAGTCACTCACTCACTCAGTGAGTCACTCAGTGAGTCACTCAGTGAGTCACTCGGTGAGTCAGTCACTCAGTGAGTCACTCGGTCAGTCACTCAGTCAGTCACTCGGTCAGTCACTCGGTCAGTCACTCGGTCAGTCACTCGGTCAGTCACTCGGTCAGTCACTCGGTCAGTCACTCGGTCAGTCACTCGGTCAGTCACTCAGTCAGTCACTCAGTGAGTCACTCAGTGAGTCACTCGGTCAGTCACTCGGTCAGTCACTCAGTGAGTCAGTCACTCAGTGAGTCAGTCACTCAGTGAGTCACTCAGTGAGTCACTCGGTCAGTCACTCAGTGAGTCAGTCACTCAGTGAGTCACTAACAGTCAGTCAGTCACTCGGTGAGTCAGTCACTCAGTGAGTCAGTCACTCAGTGAGTCAGTCACTCAGTGAGTCAGTCACTCAGTGAGTCACTCAGTGAGTCACTCAGTCACTTAGTGGGTCACTCAGTGAGTCACTCAGTGAGTCACTCAGTGGGTCACTCAGTGAGTCACTCAGTCAG